AGCACAGTTATGTCACATCACTCATCTTTAACTTTGATGCAATCAAGTCACTGAATTCTCATTTTCTTGCAATTTTTTCACTTATCTTAAATACCGTATAAACAAGTAACTCAACTTTGATTTGCTTACAAATTTAGTCACTTTGTTTCAAAATATATAGGGTTAAGCTTGCACTAAGAAAAATATATTAGTATTTTAATATGTATTCTTTTTAGAACATTTCAATTTAGTCCACTATTTGATTTGACTTAAAAAAAATCATATGTTTAATATTAAGCGTTAAAAAAAGTTGATTATATGTGTTGTTGAAAAGTTAATAAAACTTGCGAATCCTATAAAATGTATGGTTGAAAATAAATTTGAGGAAAATAAGTTTTAAAAAATTGAAACCAAAGAGAGGCTAATTTTTATAGTGAAATTTTAAAATATAATTATTTGAAAGATATTATTTTTATGTCTTTAAAATATAGTTCGAAACCAATTCAAACGGGAAAAAAATGTTCAATTTGAAAAATGAAATATTTTGGTTCGTAATTTATCGAATAGATTGAAATTATTTAGTTTAAAAATATTTCAGAAGTTGCCCAAACTAAAGCATCTTCACCTCGAATCCTACATATATCGCAAGTTAAATATGTTAATTTATTTTATAGTATGCTACATGATCATTTTAAATCAAACATTCACACAATAAAATATTATACACGTATACCAAAAATTTTCTGTACTTTTTAACCACATATTCTTGTAAAAATATTATTCAAAACTCATTTCTTTTCCCAATTAATGATAATCATATAGGCACTTAATTCAATTAATTAATTACAATTTGATATTAGTATTTAAAGGCACCATGTAGAATTAGACATTACTTTCACTGTGAGAGTGTTAATTTGTGTAATGCAAATAACTTTAAGTAACGAAATAGGTTAGAAATTTTTTTAAGGACCAACTTAGAATTCTGTACAAACTTCAGTGACCATTTGTAAAATTAACTCCCTAGTAAAATGAAAGCAATTGAAATACAATAAGTTTTTTTTTATAACGCTATTTGTACATAATAAGTTATATAATGGTTTGTATACAGTGATACATATGAAATTATGATTTATTTTTTCTTTTTTAATTTATTAAATGATTTTTTTTATTAGTGTCGGTGTAAAATGAATATATTTCTTGCATACAGTAGTTATAATTCGATTCTATTAATTTTCTGAGATTTTGCTTTATTTTATTGTCTCTTGTTGAAAGTTCTAATATTTGAATTCTTGTAGGAAGGAGTACCATCTAGATGTTGAGTTGAGACAGATGACGGAAAAATGTACTTGGAATAGCAGCTTTGAGAGTTTTACTATTGTATCGAAGTTGCTCAATGATCAACATGAAAATATGCTATGCCAATCCTTTCTTGGCCCCTTGTATTAGTTGAGAAATGTGCAGTATTCCGAGTAGATCATTGATACATTACTATGTCGGCTGCTTAGGTTAGTCGACGGCGATACCCTCCACTAGACCTTGGGGCAAGGTTGCTAGTTTCTCTATGTTTAAGTTTGCCCTAATGACTCAACTAAAAATTATGGGCGATGAAGCAGCTAGGAACGGTACTCAAAGAAACAATAGGCTGTACGACGCATATTTTCAGGGACAAGGGACGGTACTTCTACCGTAGTTGATTGGTGCAATCAGGGAGTGTGACTAGATGTTGGATAGATTGAAGTTAATACTGGTCTATATCCTTGAAAGCGTGGTGAGGTGTATTCATAAAAAGACTGAGACCGACTTTTTTCATTTGGAAGTTGTTGACGACATCATTGCTTTCAACAACTATCCAGGGGGCTGGAGATGTTTGAGGACACCGTACACGTCTTCACCAATTCACATTCCCAATGGATCATTGCGTAAGTACAATACTTATGGATTACCCCTAACAATGCTGGAAAGTGTTTAACGTAATCGTCGTCAAAATATTTTTTTATACTAAATTTATATATAATAATTTTATATGTTGCAGATCTGGATATATGAGACTATCACCCTCTTGGGTACCCGATTTGCAAAGAGAGATGAGACACGTTACCCTCGAATGCATCATTGGTGAGCATCTCGAGTAGACGGTTGTCCACCTGATAGATAGTTATCAACTTTCCTCGACGACCGTCAGGTGAGTATTATAAATTTACGATTTATATTGTATGACATCATGATTGTACCTGACTGGCATAATCAATATTTGTTTATTTGTCTATTAAACTATTGATGAAAATAAGGAGATACCTAAATAAACATTTGTCAGAAAATTTGGTGATTTTACGTTATATTATTGCTATTTTTAATTTGCATTCAGTTTTTTTTTTTTATATTCAATTTAC